AAAACCAGGTAGTTTGATTTTTTTTTTTTACATTCTGATCAATATAACTGACCCCTTCATCCCTGGAAATTCTGGCTGCTACTTTGATAAATGAGTAAATGTATTGCAATGATCAGGCTAACATGGGCAATGAGAATTGCTGTGGAAGAAAAATGTATGATCCATGACCTGAAAGGACAAAATACTTTTTTCTAATAGCTTCCAAATCAAATAGCTATTGACACAAATTTGAATCCCTGTCAGAAAGAACTAGGAAAATGCAACAAATATTGTCATTAATTAGTCAGTAGTCCCTAGCATTCAATGGCCAATGAAAAATCATTATGCTCACAAAAGTCATGAAAGAATTTACATATGTGTGTGATATTGATATTTTAATATACAGATGATTTATTTTTCAGATGATCTTTTATAACATCACAGTCACAGGCTTCCTACTTTTAAAATAGTTTTTCTTGTCAGGCATGGTGGTGCACGCCTTTAATCCCAGAACTCCAGAGGCAGAGGCAGGCGTATCTCTGTGAGTTCAAGGCCAGCCTGGTCTACATAGTGAGTTCTAGGCCATCTGGGGCTACAGGCCAGCTGGGGCTACAGGAAGACCCAGTCTCCAAAAAAAATTGTTTTTCTCAAAAGTAGGTACTGTTGGGGACCTCTGTTGTGTAAAGTAGAAGTTTCTCCATGTCCGGATAGCTCACGAGCTCGGAGCCATATGCAGAGACTCCTTTCACGGCAGGGTGCCTTCCCGGCATTTTTCCTGACTCCTTTGTGAAGTAGCAGCCACAGGAATGTAGCCTCCGGCTCTGTAACTATTAGGCTTTCCTGTGTGATTTTCAAGCAGTTTGGCAGCCTGGCGGGAGCCCATTTCCACATGCAAATGAGGCATCCCCAAAGTACCTATCAGCTGAAGCTTTTACCACTACCCCCACGGTATAAAGTTCCCTGATTCCCCTCAATAATTGAAGGAGCTGGATCACTAGGAGCTAGGACCTGGGACACTGAGACTTGGAGCCATGCAGAGCCATTGAATAAAGAGCTGTAACACTGAGTCTGACTGAGCTGAGTCTTGTCTCACTGCCTACGATCCAGCCTTCCCGGGAAGAGCTGTCTTTCCGTCACCGACTCACGGATCCCAGCTTTAGCCGCCCTCACACTCTCCCGTGTGATCCAGCGGCTGGTGGATTTTGCATCTTGAGGAAAGTGCACAGGTGAAATTGGGGCGGGACTCAGCTGGGCAAAGCCCCAGCACCAGAGAGCCACGGAAGACGCAGGGAAGCAGCGGAGAAGCAGAGACCCGCTGCCACAAGAGCCGTGGTGCTGCGAGACCTTCAGCACCTCAGCGGCGGACAGCGATGCGGGACGTGGCAAGGCCCGCCGTGCCGCTTCCAGGGCACGCAGAGAGCCCCGCGCGCCCCATAGGTACAAAGTCTTATTTGATGATTTTTTTTTTTTTGTCTTTTTGAGACAGGGTCTCCCTGTAGCCCCAGCTGTCCTGGATCTCACTATGTAGACCAGGCTGGCCTTGAACTCACAGAGATCCGCCTGCCTCTGCTTCCCAAGTGCTGGGACTACAGGTGAGCCACCATACCCAGCTTTAGTTGATGATTTTTAACAAAACTTGTTCTCTTTTCTACCATAGAAAATCATTTTTGAACAATTGTTTGATATATCTTAAAAGTTAGGATAATTTAAATTTCACAAAGAATTGACTAAAACATTTTTACACTTTTAATGAGGAAAAAGCAGACAGTAATGCCTACTGAATTCTCTCCTTTGAGAGGTAGAGGGAGAGAGAGAGGGGAGAGAGAGAGAGAGAGAGAGAGAGAGAGAGAGAGAGAGAGCAACAGAGAGACAGACAGGCAGATAGAGAGGAGAGGGTCTCATGTATCCCAGACAGAGGATGATCTTGAACTTCTGGTCTACTTCCCCATCCCAAGTGCTGGAAGGGGTATGCCATCTACCATCATGCCCAGGTTATACATTGCTGGAGCATGAAACCCAGGGCCTCGTGCATGCTAGGAAAGCACTCTACCAACTGAACTACATCCCCAGCACACACCCCACCCCCAAAAACTCCTTCTTTAAGGAACTCAAGTGCTTCCATTAAGCACTTGCTATGCAAGCTTAAGAACCACAGTTCAGATCCCCAGAATCCCATATAACTATCATGTAGATTCAGGTGGACTCAGCAGCACACCTGTAATTCCAGCTTGAGTTCATTTATTTTTACTTTTATTTTATGTATATTCGGGTTATGTCTGTACGTGTGTAAGTGGCCCCATGTCATGCAGTGCCCTCAGGTCCCCTGGAATTGGAGTTATGGACAGTTGTTAGCTGCTGTGTGGGTGCTAGGATTCGAAGACAGGTCTTCTGCAAGAACACTCAGTGCTCTTAACCACTAAGCTATCTCTGCAGCCCCATAACTCCAGGTTTGGAAGGCAGGATCAGAGGATCCTCAGAAGGGGCTGGCTAGCCACATTGGTGAGCTCTGGGTTTTACTGAGACCCTGCCTCAACAAGTAAGCTGGAAGAGCAATAGAGGACGAGTCTCAACATCAACCTCAGCCTCCACATGCACGTGCACAGGCATCCACACACATGTGCAAAAGCATGCACACAAACATACACATGAAAAAATTTTAAAGAGAATTGTATATAATTATCAAAGGCACAATTATGTTTAATATGTTCTATATTAAACTATTATATACTTGTTTTTATTTCTTGGTCCTTTTGAGACAGGGTCTCCCTGTAGTCCCAGTTGGCCTGAAACTCGCTATGTAGACCAAGCTGGCCTCAAACTCTCAAAGATCCACCTGCTTCTGCCTCTCAAGTGCTAGGATTAAAGGCATGCACCACCACACCCAGTTCTTTTCTCGGTATCAATGTGAGATGACTGAGTTCATTTTTCCTCCTGGCCCCATCTTTGATATGCATG